GATGAGGTCGAAAAACAAGAACTGAATGACCGTTCCGCAAAATCTTGAATTTGAAAATTTGAACTTATGTATGTTGTATTTCGATCACCATGTTCGAACTCTCTCAGACCACCTCGTCCTATCACCCCCCAGTTCAAAATTTAAAATTCGAGCCTGTTGTATATTCTCTCAAAATCCGAATGACCTTCGTGAACTGCTCTGAATGAACTCCCTCGACCTGCCACCGAGGTCGAAAAATAAATTCGACGTAACCAAGAATCAAATGAAGATAATCGACCTGCCACCGAGGTCTGCTCGAGCTATCCGTAATGAACTCCATCTCCCTTCTTTTGAAGGCGAAAAATAAATTCGACGAAACCAAGAATCACATAAAGATAATCGACCTGCCACCGAGGTCTGCTCGAGCTATCCGTAATGAACTCCATCTCCCTTCTTTTGAAGTCAAAAAATAAATTCGACGAAACCAAGAATCACATAAAGATAATCGACCTGCCACCGAGGTCTGCTCGAGCTATCCGTAATGAACTCCATCTCCCTTCTTTTGAAGTCAAAAAATAAATTCGACGAAACCAAGAATCACATAAAGATAATCGACCTGCCACCGAGGTCTGCTCGAGCTATCCGTAATGAACTCCATCTCCCTTCTTTTGAAGTCAAAAAATAAATTCGACGAAACCAAGAATCACATAAAGATAATCGACCTGCCACCGAGGTCTGCTCGAGCTATCCGTAATGAACTCCATCTCCCTTCTTTTGAAGTCAAAAAATAAATTCGACGAAACCAAGAATCAAATAAAGATAATCGACCTGCCACCGAGGTCTGCTCGAGCTATCCGTAATGAACTTCATCTCCCTTCTTTTGAAGTCGAAAAATAAATTCGACGAAACCAAGAATCAAATAAAAATAATCGACCTGCCACCGAGGTCTCCAATAGGATCCATGTCTTCACCGACCCAACGCTAGGATCGACCACCCAGCCCGGAGGCCTTAATCATGGTGGATTTTGGTCTTCGAACACATGTCCACCCTCGAAGGAGTGGTCGTTACATGTGACCACCCAACCCGGAGGTCTTAGTCATGGTGGATTTTTGTCTTCGAACACATGTCCACCTTCGAAGGAGTGGTCGTTACATGTGACCACCCAGCCCGGAGGCCTTAGTCATGGTGGATTTTGGTCTTCGAACACATGTCCACCCTCGAAAGAGTGGTTGTTACATGTGACCACCCAGCCCGGAGGCCTTAGTCATGGTGGATTTTTCTCTTCGAACTGCTCGAACACTTCGACCTGCCACTGAGGTCGACAAGGAAACACACCAAAGACCACGAGACAAAATAGTAATTGATCATTTTTGTTAGTCTCATCAAATGCATAGTTATATCGAACAAGATATAAAAATAAAAAAAAATCAAGCATTTTTTCGACCTCCCTTTCATGTCTGCACACAACGACCTAGAGTTGTTGTTTGCTCCATGCTTCCCACTCCTCACCATAGCCAATATCCAGGTCACCTGCTCATGCATTTTCCTCGACAATAATTCAACAGATTCCATTAGTTGCATTTTATCCACATTATCCAATTTGCAATCCCGATAGCAATAACAACAAAAGACGAATGAATCAAAGCAATCATATTGGTCCATATGCTTTTATACCAGACCACAATCTACATGCAAGTCTCTTTACCAAGATATGAAATCGCATAAACACCCATTCAAATGTATAGTCGACTAGAATTTCGCAAAACCATGAATTCGACAAGCAATTACAACAAACCATACTCTGCAGCTACAAACAATCATTAAACGAATGCACCAAACAAAAATTCGAATGAATTACTCCCAATACCGAGTTCCTTAGTCATGACGACTCGAGACTGGCCAGCCCGAAGGCCTTAGTCGTGCCAGATTTTGTTCGAGGTTCTATGTACACCTCATTTTCTGCATTTTGTTAGTCACCCAAATAATAATTCCGGACATATCCACATACACCACAATCTCAGCAATATGTCGCCCAGAATATTCAAACAATGAACATTACTCCAAAAAAGAATGCTAAGAGACTCAACGTTTCATTATATTGAGTTGGTCGAACATGACCACTCACAAGAATTGGGATTAATTTTATACCTGAAAGTCGAGAATGCCACTCCCAATTATCCTACCTCTCCAAAAGAGAATGATTTCTGCCTCTGAAATTGCCACCTGCGATCGGCACCATCCAGACTCGTCCCTCCTTATCACCCTGCTTTGATGGATTCATGCTCGTTCATTTTGTCCTCGAAACTCCACAACTCGTCCACCATAGCTTGTCGAGACTCAGGTTATTTCGGTGTTTCCTCGACAAGAATTCAAAGAGATATCATTATCCATATTATATTCACATCATCCATTTTGCAATTCTCCACGCAAGAAAAACAAGAGATCAATGCAATCATCACCATCTCCTCGACTTAAGACATGCTCGAGCAATGGCATGCTTAAAAATTATGAATAAACAATTCAAACAAAATTCCACATTTTCACATGAAAATCCAAATGAGAGGCTCCGAATATATCAAATATCAAGTTGTATAATTTTAATCCATTCCTCGAGCCCAACGATAAATGCACCAAACATACGGTAAACACCACCACAAAATGTCCTTAATTCGAAATCACGACTCACATTTATTTTCAAATAAGCTCTCCGAGATTAAATCGAATAATTTCTCCACAAATAAGTCAAATAAACTCCACGAATATATCAAATATTCTCCTCGAACAAATCGCATATCACCACGAATAAATCACATAATATCTCGAGCAAATCAAATAACTCCACGATCGAATCAGATATCACCACGAAAAAATCAAATAATTCCATGATCGAATCAGATATCACCACGAACAAATCAAATATTTTCAGGAATAAATCACATAATTCTCCATGAATTCTCCAAATAATATCTCGAGCAAATCAAATAATATCTCGAATAAATCACATAATCTTCTCGAGTAAATCAAATAATGCTCCACGAATATGGTAAATATCCTCCACGAAATAAATCCACTAATACTCCACAAGTAAATCAAATAAGCTCCACGAATAATCCAATGAGCTCTATACATAAGTCATATAATGCTCCACAAATAAATTAGCCACATACCTTCACCCCGAGAAATACTATCTCGAATTACCTCCCCGTCCATGTTGTATCATCTCGAAATAGCCTCGGGCTCGAACTGTGGCTGTTGGATCATTTGGGCTTGACCTAGAGGGGGTTTGAACATAAAATAGGCCGCACATGGGCTATTGGGCTGCGCTGGAGGTGTTTTTGCGCGAAATGGGCTCGCTGGGAGGGGCTGGGCCGAACGCGGGCCGAAATCCACGAGGAAAACGGGCTTTGCGCGGGTCAAAGCGGCGCTGGGCTAGGGGAACGCGCCACACGCGCTGGGGCTGGAGCTGGGCCAAGATCGGGCTTCTCGCGGGCTTTCGCGGGCTAATTGCTGAAAGAAACNGTTGGGCCAATTCTTCAGGCCTTTCTTGCTGGGCCGCGCACGCTAACAGGCGGGCTTCCTCACCTGGACTCCTGGATCGTGGATATTGGGCCATGCCCCCGGGCCACCTCCACGCTGGGCCATGCGCAGGGAAGCAGAGTCATGTTTTGGTCGAGCTGCGAGAAAGACGGCTGCCATTCGCCGGGAAGAAAAGCCGCCGGTCGGGGCTCGCCGTCTCCGGCGGGAGTGACCGACCGTGCGTGCGCCTCGACATGTAGATTTCGATGGTGCCCTCGGTTTAAAGCGATTCGCCAGAAAAATGGAGAAGATGCCGGATTTTGACCACCAATTTTCTAGATCTAAAAAGTTTGACCGACCAAATTGACGACCCTCCCGATGGAATTTTCACTTGAAATTTTAAGGGTAGAACGAGCACAAGAAGAGCTTTGTGATGATGCAAAGATTTTCCAGATCGGAGGATTTTTCTCGGCGGACGGTGGCGGAGGCGGCGGCCGCCGTCCCCCCGGTGGAGGTCACATGCTGGAGACTCGTTTCGCCGAGGGGATTCCAATGGTGCTCTCGAACTTTTTATAGCACTCACGGATCACCGGAAAAACGCATTTGAAGGTCGAATGTTAACCAAAACTTCTTAGATCCGGGAAGTTTGACCGGCCAAATCGAAGGCCTTCCCGGATGAATTTTCGAATGATATTTTAAGGGGAGATTCACCTCGAGGAGATCTACCCGATGATGTCCACCATTTTTCGACCGGAGCATGTTTTTCAGCGGCCAGCAGCAGAGGTGGTAGCCGGCGGCGGCGACGGTATCGGCGGCCGGTGGAGGTGAAGGAGCTTGCTAGAAAATTTCTCAGATTTTTCGATCGGAACTCCGTTTGACTTTTTGAACGGGTCCCACAGACGGCGCCAATGAAGTGAATACGATTTCACCCGGGCTCCTTCAACTCAAACGGCCACCGGACCTGCAAGAAACCAATGCCGGGAGGGGTCCCGGCGTCGGGCCTCCGACGCTTAAGTCAGAATCACTCCAAATCCCAAGAGTATAATTATGAATGTAGAGAGAATGAGAGAATGAGATACCTTAGGGAATGTACCTTATGGCCCAAGTTGGGCTTGTCCAATAGCATCATGCCACGTGTCCTAGCCATGTGCAGGCTTATTCTTCAATATATTCCCTTTTATCCATTAAGACTGGTCTAGTATATAATACTCTCTCCTATTCAAATTAATTGTCGTTCTGACTTTTCTGCTCATTAACTAAATATTTGTCGTTCTGCATATTTTTTTAATATTTTTCCACTTTTACCCCTTCAACTGATAAAGAGCGTTTCTTCATATCTAATATTCCTCTTTTCCCGGGACATCGATCTCTATTCCCATGGCAGAAGTATATGCCAACGTCTCTATATATTTTTCCAATCCATCTTCCATCTTTTTTAACCCAAATTTTTCTAATCCTTTGATTCTGGTTCTATTGTTCTCCCCCTTTTTTCCTCTTTTGATTCATGGATTTGAAAGGTTATGATGCTTCGATATCGGATCTAGAAATTCACTTTGCTACATCTATTCAATCTCACAAACTTCTTGTGGATGAAGTCCTTCAACTATTGGAGAAGACAAAGGCAAGTTTAGATGTTGCCCATTCAATCGCTATGCAAATTAGTGATTTGACAGAGTCATCTAAGGTGTATGTGTCTGATTCGGACGTTGAAGATGATATTCATAAACCTCCGCGGAGGTCTATCGTACTTAAAAGGACTCCGAGAAAAAGAGAAGCTAGAGAGGCTCAATCACTTTGCAACTGGAACTAATTTTTCAAAAGGTAAAAGTGAAATAAAGGTTGAAGAGAAGCCTGTTGTTAGTGAAGCAATTTTGTGTCCAAATGATCAAGTTGTGAACGAGATGCTGAAGATTTTTGTGCCAAATCTATTTACCGAAAAGCTCTCGACCAATGTGGCAGATTTGCTTTGAGCGGGTAGTCTTGTTCGTCTATTTTTTTTTTTTTTTTTTTTTCCCCAGTAATCTGTTGTTATTATTGTTCTTATCATCTTGGTGTTTTTGGTCTAGGTACTTTGGCTTTTAATCTGTTATTATCGTGGATTTTTTTTATGCTATTGTTGTTATTGTCGGTTGCAGAATGCACTTCAGCTCTCTTGTTGTGCTTATGCGTGTGTGCAATCAATCAACTGGTTTTTCCTCGTTGGACTTTCATTAGAAACTTTTATCTCTGTGTGTGTGTAATCAACCAATTGGTTATTTATCGTTGGACTTTCACTAGCAGCCAAAGTTGGTTTTTTCTTTTTTTTTTTAACTTTGACGTTATAAACTAAAATCTTTAAAAATTAGAAATGATTGGGTTTTGTTGCGCAATTCTGTCATTTTCCTGTCAAATGAACCACTATTTTAGTACTTATAACCAAAAGAAGAGAATTTAGTATACAATGTGGAAAATTCTTATTTTCTTTCTGTATTCTTGCTCTATTATCTTTTTACCTTTAATCTTTTTCTATTATGCTTGATTTCTTATAATTTAGTTAGTCTGTGGTTTTTGTTGGTTTCTTTTTGTTTTAAAGGCTCCTGTGGATTTAGTGTTCATCTGGGTTAGTTGTTGATTCCAATATGATGACTGTGTGTTAAATTGAGAACATACAAGCTGTGTTGTGTTTTATCATTTTTTTTTTTCTTTTTTTTTTGGTGTTATGATTTAATGTACTTTTGTCTTTAAAGTCTTTAAATAGGTTCAATTGTTGCATTTGCTAGTACTGAGCACCACTAGGCAAATTGGTGTGGATTCATTCTGTTAATTATGCTATGGTCTTGAAGTGGTTTGTTCCCAAATGAATGTGCACAGTTAAAGCAAAAATGTATTGTTCTGTTAATTATGCAGTACACACTAACAGATAAACAAAAATGTATTGTCCTGGGGTATGTCAAAAGGTTCAGTCGTCAGTTCATATTTCGTTGACCAATTCTTCCTTCGAATTTATGTTCTTGAATTCACATGAAATGTGAGTAAAACTGAAAATTGGAGAAGAATATGGCCATTGGGTTCCTCTTATGTTTCTATTTATTTTTGTTTCTTAATTAGTCAGGAGCTCTTTCATGTATCATGTGTTTAAAGGAAAACCTAATGCTCAGGAAAATTGCTCGAGGAATTGGTCAAGGCTCCAAATAAATGATTAGATGCAAAAAAAACTCATCTCTACATTTACTACTGTCGCGACTTTAATTATTAGCTTCCTATCTGTCGCTACTTTAACATTGTCATTTTAGTTTACTGTTAGCTTGAAACAGTGTGTATTTGCGCCTTTCGTTTTCATTTTTTCTTAATATTCTGCGAGTATTGGTATCTTCTGATGTAGAAATGTTTATGTTAAGAACAAAGATTAACTGTTGGATATTTATATTACTATAAGTATAGAGTTCGCTAGAGATTTTTCAGTATTTTCTGATTATTGGACGAATTTGTTTCTACGGTGAGCTAATTAATCTTTTGATGTTGGATTGAATCTGTTTCTGTCTTTTTTTTTTCTTCTCATCTTATATTGTTATTGATGAATTTAGCTGTTAGTGTTATTTTTTCTAGGGTGAGCTAATTTTTTTTTTTTTTTCTTCTCCTATTATTAGATTTTAGCTAGTTTCATTCTCATATGCTTTTATATGAGTAATTTACTTTATTTTTTGTAATGAATATGCTGCTTGTACTAAAATTGTTTGAGCTTGGTTTTCCTTTTTCTTTCTTTGTTCTTAAAAGAGAATTAAAAAATTAGTTAAGAGTTGTGCTCCATATGTAATACTCCAATTACAATTGATACTATCAGTCAATCTTATTCATTTTACACTTTTGCTCATATCTGGATGATATATTCTTTGATTCTAAGCCTTCCCTTTTCCCACCGATTTCCTTTTTCCACAGAGAATGAAGAAACGGTAGAGTTAATAAAACTGATTTGGTGATCATTATTTGAACAATCTGCATACATTTCGATATGGTGACTAAATCATGGTTCCGAAATTTATGGACAACTTCCAAGAAATCCGACTCCCAAGCACACAAATCACAAATTGCGGTTTTGGCGTTCGAAGCCGCTAGCCTTATTACCAAACTCCTCCACCTATGGCAATCTCTCACCGACAAGCAAGTCGCGAGATTAAGAGACGAAATAACAAATTCGGCCGGCATCAAAAAGCTCGTCTCGAAAAACGACGACTACATCGGCCGGTTAATATGCACGGAGATGATGGAGAACTTATCCCACATGGCACGAGATGTCTCCAGGCTGTCGAAAAAGTGCAACGACCCTCTCTTGAGGAGCTTCGAGCAGGCCTACAGCGATCTAATAAAAAACGACGCGGACACGTACAGGTGGCAGTTCTCGTGGAAAAAATGGAGCATAAAATCAAGAAAATGGAGCGTTTTGTGGCCTCTAACACGAGTTTGTATCAAGAGATGGAAACTCTCGCGGATCTCGAGCAAATGTTGAGGAGAATGAAAGGCAGTGATAATTTGGATAGCATAACGTTGGTTGAGTACGAGAAGAAGGTCACGTGGAAAAAGCACGAAGTGAAGCATCTAAAAGAGAATTCCCTTTGGAGCCAAACATACGATTACACGATCCTTCTTCTCACTCGAACCGTATTCACCGTTTTTGGAAGGATCGAGCACGTTTTTGGAATCAATCAAGTGGCCGATTTAGGAGTCAGAGAATCTAAAAACAAAAGCTAAGGCGCAAACATTGTCATTTCAATTTATTGTGCTAAATCTAATCCTTGTTCTCCGAAACCATTTTTAACAGTTAACTACCTTTTTAACATTTCTAACAATATTGCAGTTAGCTACCAATCCATAAAGAGAGAGCTCTCATTATTTTTATTCTCCTGACTTGTTTTTACAGCATGAGTGTTAGAAATTTAGGTTTGGCTTTTTTAATTTGGCCATTCTAATATTCAGAATAGAGGTTAGATATCGTCATTTAACAACTATCAGACCTATCATTTGGCCAACTAGAAATATTACTCCAAAAGGTAAAGGCATACACTGGATATAGAAATTACTAAAACAATATCACCAACATGAAAAGGCCAAATGCAATCCACAAGAGAATAAAACACTAGGAGGGGAGGAGTTGTCTGTCTTGTCTCTCCATTAAAAAACAAGCAACCGAACTGCGAGCAGACTTAAAAGTTTAAATTCATATGCAACATTAAAGCAGCACATCTCGACTTGAAGGAGGCCATCATTTTTCATAGACATCACTAATTTTCTTCCAATCTATCTCCAATCGAACCGTTACCTACAAGCAAATGATAACATTATCAATAATAGTGAATATATGAAGAGGAGAAGTAAAGGTTAACATTGATTTACCTATTCGTGCTTCTAACAAGTCTTTACTCGCTTGTACTAAGGTAGACTCGCATGAAATTTGTGTAGAAAGTTGACCTAGTCTTTGAAGTCGGTTTTTGTTTATATGAGGAATTTTATATCGATTTCCTCCTCCTAATTTCATGATTTCTTTCATACATAATTGCAATGTCAGCCACACGCAATTGAGCTTGATGGGTGAATAGTCAGAGAATGCCTTCTCTACCGCACTTACAAGCTCAGGGATATTCCTTGCGCATATTTTTTGCTGTAACGACTGTATGGCCCTAAAATACCCAAGGTCAAGTATATTCAAATCTGGAGAATTAGGAGGCTGACAAGTTAATCGAATGTCAAAGCCATTTTGTGAAGCTGCTGCTAGAAAATCAGGGTCATTAGGAAGAACGTGCGTCCTAGCATTGTCTTGTTGGACATAAATAGTTTCTCCATAATTAGAGCTAGGCCATTTCTCAATAATGGATGGGATAACTTTTTCAATCAAAAATGCTTTCACATTCTCTCTTTTAACAGATGTGATCGCCTTCATCTCCATTGTGCCAGCTTGTCTGTTCCTGCTATTTCTTTGGGCTGGTTGCTCTGTGACAAACGCCCAACATCCAATTTTACCCGAAAATACCACCCTTCCTTCACCATCAAATCTAGGATGAGCCGTGGCTGCTAGAAACATAACTTTTGCAATGTTATTTTTACTTTGGCATGAACGATGAGGATCTTCTTCATTGTTGAGTAGGTAATACGTTTGCTCCTTCTTTGTCAAGTAAAACCATTTCTCGTCGATATGCACATAGTTATACATTCCCTTGAACTTCGGCTCGTTCAACGTTGTGCTTTCATCAAGCATCGATAAACAAAATTCTAGCCGTGATATTTTATTTTCGTCTTTCAAATGTGGCTTGATGGCACTTGAGTGACGACGTAGAAAGCCTCGCTTAAAAAGTCTATACAATTTGGAGTAACTAACTGCTAAAGCCTTAGAATGAGATGCAAGTGTTGTTCGTTGATGCCACTCTATCTGTTGAATCCTACTTAAATCTACCTCAATTCGTTTACGACCACAGTTCCGTGTCTTCCTCGACGAAACATCCACATCTCTGCCTGGTGAAGTTCTCTTGTGAATTTTCCATATTCTTTGAACTGTTCGCAGCTCAATATTGAACATATCTTTCACTTCTTTTGTTGTCTTCTTTTTCAATTTACCATTTACACTTTTCTCCAACAGAGCATGGTAAACTGCCCACCGTTCAACGTCAGTTAGGATCCTGTTCTTTCTCTTTTGAACATTGCCTATTGAAAAAATGTTAACCAAATTTAACATAGAGAACAAAGCAATGAAACTATGAAACTGAATATTGCGACAAGGGAAACATAGTTGAAACTTACAATATCTTACCAACAGAAACCTAGAAAGAACTAATTAAAACTTGTATATTTGCATAAAAAAATAAAAAATATCACAACTCTCTAGCACACAAAAGAGTTCACAATAAGACCACTAGAAACTTTCATATATCTATCTCCATATAACATACTACTATCAAATCAAACCTTTATCATTTTTGCTTTTTTCTTTTTTAAGGTACCCTAAGCCAAGAATACATGTTCAACCTTAAGGTCTAATCTCATAAACCAATCTAAAAAATTTATCCTCTAATGATTACAACTAATAAAAAAATATACATACACAACATTACTCCATGTAATCAAGTCAATGAAATATTTTAATAAAAAAAATATACATACACAGCATATACATACACAACATTACTCCATATTTTAACAAATCAAGTCAATGAAATAATTCATCACACCACCACTTCATGTAATCATTAATGGAATCAGTGGTGAAGAAAAAAAACAAAGAAATGAAAGTGAACCAATCTTAACGTCCAAAAATAACTTCCAACACCATTCTCAAAATAAAAAAAAAAAAGGATAAACACACATATACAGAAACAAACAAACAAATAAAAGTAACTTGATGAGAAAACATCAAATTATTCAAACCTTTCACGAGTTAGCAGAAATCGAAATTCTCCGCAAGCATATATCCGTAAATACATTACACTCTAAACTAGCATGAAGTACATAACTAACAACAAAGGTATCCCAATATTTTGCTTGAAAATTCACCACACAGTGAGCAAAATGTAATTTGGAGAAAATAAAAACATCAAGAAAACAAAAAAAAAGTTGATGTCAATAAAACTCACCTTGGCTTGTTTCCCCTGCTTCACCATTCCCGCCATCAAATTCATTGAAATTTCCTTCTCCACCCGATATTACGTGCCCTTCAAGTACCCCTTCTATGTTTCTATTTCCTTCTCCGTCATTGGCCTGCTGGCCAGTTATCTCTTCCACAGATGAATCGGACCTTGCATCGTCATCATCTTCGAAAAATTGATTTAAGTCGAGCTCGATAACAGGGTATCCAAATTCCGGGTTGTCGTCGACATTTAGCTCGATTATAATGTTCTCTGAAGATCTCGGTACTGCATCTTGTACCTCGTAAAGAGGTTTGTTCAAATCAATCAGAATATTTGAAGTCATTGCAAATCTTTATTCATAATGTGTAGTTCAATTAAATTATCCATATCAAATTTATAGACCTCCTCGTGAATTTTGGCTCCTTGTTGAAAATTTTGAAATGTTGAATGTGAATTTTCATTTTACCTCCTTGTTTAAATTTTAGCTCCAAATCTGTAACGTGTTGAAAAATTAGAGTTACAGAGGAAATAGGTGGAAGACGATGGGTTTTTAACTTTAAACCCTTTTTTTCCTTTTCTTTATGTTTGGTCCAAGCCTTTTTCTCTCTCTCGTTTTTTTTTTTCTTTTTTCATGTAACAGATTAATTATACTCCCACTTTTCAAGAAAATTGCCCTCACGAGGAGTATTTTGCAGCTCCAGTTTATTTGCAAGAGCTCCCTAATTCACGTTATTAATTTTGATTAATGGGGGTATTATTGGTAAAAATATAACCCTTAATTATTGTGCACAAAGCCAAAACAACAATTAATTTGAATAGGAGGGAGTATCCTATATCATATTGCTTTTCCAAAAATCACAGTGAATTTTTTGAAATTCATTTTTCGATTCATAAACATTTTGGCGTTACTCATTCATATCAAAACTTAGTTCAAGTCATGTCTGAACTACGGGGATTCATTGCCCGATTTTTCAAATGTTTTCATTAACCATAATCTCATCAACATAAATAATAAACATCATGATATTCCTAATCACATACTCATGAATATCAAATTAAGAGGTTTTTCAACATAAACCAATCGAACACGTTTTCAAAGTCAAACCAAATCAACATGTTCAAATAAACCAACATGAGTTCATAAATGCGGAAGCAAATAGTAATCATAAATAAATAAGCAGGACCACCCACTCGTCTTGTCTCGTCACCCACCAACTGCTTAACCTGCATTCGTGAAGAGCAGGTGAGAGTGAGCATAAAATAAAAATAATGCTCACCACTATGCAAATGCACCTTTCATAATATGTCAAATAGGAATGGTCGCAGTATGAACATAAATAATATCGTATATGTCTCATCTCCTACAATATCGCAATAAAATAAAATACTCCTGTGCACACATCTTTCATTAGTCGCGGAAAAGGGATTCATTACCCTAATGGCGAGAGTACATGCCACGCAACGGGCACGATCTTTCATTAGGTCTTAAGGAGACTTGCCTCGCAACGGGCAACCGTATTACATCGACGGGGACAACCGTACCGACGGCCGTAACAGCTCACATCGATAGGCTACATGTTCACATGCATACATAGATCACGCCAAATTTGCAAACATATTTAAACACACATTGCATAGACTTTTTAGAATAACTAACCCACCTGGATTTCAGATTGGAAACAACTCAACAAGTAATGGACGTAGGTCGAGGCTTGACTGCTCACACACCTACATTAAGTCAAGATACTACAATCAATATTTATCTTGCACAAATCAGACTTAGCCGAACTTGATTCGATTAAGTTGTTCGTGAAGTCTTGTGTACGTTGGAACACTTAGACTCGGCACTTACACTCAACCAGAACACGTATGGGAGCTCACATAAATCTAACTAAGGGTTGATCAAGTCAAACAAACAAGGAACAACATTCAAGCTGGTTTACAGTTTTTAACACAAAAACTACATTTTGGAAGACTAGCCGATACAAAAACTACATTTTAGAATACTAGCCGATACATCACATAATCAGGTTGATCAGGTTTCCCAATGAGTTATGCTCTGAAATTTTAACATAAAATCCACCTCACTGGACTTAGTAAAACCACCAATTTTCAACCCTTAACTCAAAACACATGATTTATAAAGTTCGAACAAGTTTTCAACAAAAAACGAGCACAATTTCAAAGACTGACATAATGAACGATTTAACCTTTGAAAATTTTACACAAGAACCCTCAGCATGTGAATATCAACATATGAAAATTTCAGCTTTAAACATTTAACATACGAATTATGAAAATTGTAACAAAATTCAGCATATTTCAACATTTCAGCAAAACTGAACCAATATGAACTCCAAAAATCCTGGACATTTTTCCACACACATAATATCATTAGATAAGCACTTCCACCATAAATCAGAAATTTACAGTAACAGATCAAATTATCATAATGAAAAAAAATTTCAGCAGAATACTACAATAAATTATTTACCCTAGCAAGCGCAGTCCAAAAATCATGAAATTTTTATACAAAATGTAAATATGCCAGGGAGACAACATATTAAAATTTCCACCAATTTGAAGTACAAATAAAATTAATATGCAATTTACACTATTCTGCCCAGAAATCAAAACAATTAACTAAAATAGCTACAGTTGGTATTTAAATTTGAAATTTTTACACGACATACCTATACATCATTAGACCTCACACACAAAATTTCACATCTATCGGATCAGTATGTGATTTATTACGAATATAATACACAATCATCAACTATACGAGTTCAATAATTCATATACGACTCAACAAACACCGAAATTGTCCGAGGCCTTCACCATAAGGCCAAAGACTCATTATGTTTTCAATCCCACAACACTTTACACGTTTTTAATAGGGTCTCGTTCAATTTCACACGAACCGACACGAAATCTCAACACATAAATCAAAATAAATATAAATTCGTATCTTGAAATAACAAACGGAATAACAATATGATAAACATAATTTAACGAGACGAGGTTCGAGCCTTTGTAGCGTTCTCGGGAAATGATACGTAAGAGAGGGTCGAACGAGGGTCGACGGCAAACGTACGGCGGCGCTCGGGGCGGCAACAAGCTCGACGGCGGAGCTTCGTCTCGCGGTGAAGGAGCAACGACTGATGAGGGCTCGTCGGGGACCTGCTGGTCGCGGCGGAGGGTCACGGCGAGGATCAGCAAACGGTTACCGCGTGATGATGCTCGACGGAGGGAGAACTCGCGGAGCTGCAAGTCGCGGCGGAGCAGGGTGGGTTCGCGGCGTGAGCAGGCGGCGAGTGGAGGAGTTTTTGCGAAGGAGGGCTCGACGGGAGTGAGGACTTGCTGGGTCGGTGATGACTGGTTCTCGACGTGAATAATCCAGCGAGAAGAGACAAGCACAGGGATGATGGTGACGGGAAAAACGAAATGAGAAGGGTCGACAAAAATTTTTCTTTTTCTTCTATGCTCTTTGACGCGTGAGATCGAGAGAAAGAGAGATAGAAAAAAAAAAGCTGCGGTGTTATGAGAGAATGGGGAGAAAATATTTTTGAGCACTCGTTTAAAACATGTTAGGGTTCTTCTTTCTTTTCCTTCAAGTCACACACACACACACACACACGCACAAGAGATGGAGCGTCTAGTTTTTGGGTTGGGGCGCACGGACTAGGTCGCGGGNAATAATAATAATAATAATAATAATAATAATAACAATAATAATAATAATAAATAAATTCCAAATAATCCTTAATTAAACGGGGCATTACATCTTCGAAGGTGGGCATGTATTCAAGGGAGTAAAATCCTTCATGATTAAGGCCGAGAGGTTGGATGGTCGCATGTATCGACCACCTCTTCGAAGGTGGGCATGTGTTCAAGGCAGTAAAATCCATCATGATTAAGGCCGAAAGGTTGGATGGTCGCATGTATCGACCACCTCTTTGAAGGTGGGCATGTGTTCAAGGGAGTAAAATTAATCACGACTAAGGGGGTGAGCTAGGTTGTTAATAGAAGTGGGATCAATGCGGTGCGACAGAACAAGTTCATAAACAATGAAGACAATATACGTGGTGAAATAACAACATACAAACGAGCGGGAAAATAACAAGAAAATCCAACAAACATAGACAAAAACAACATTCATTCATTCAGTAAAAAAGAGTACAAATTTTTTAGCAAAAATGAAATTACAAAATGCTCAAGGAGCAGGCGCGTCGGGATTTAAGGAGGTCTGCTCGGCGTTGGCATTGGGATCGAGAGGAGTCTGCTCTGAAGTAAGCTCGGGTTGCACCACAACCTGTTGAATTGAGCCAGATGTCGATTCGGGTCAGATAATGGTCTTTAACAGATAGACCCAGTCATGGCCCGCCTCATGGAAGTTGGAGGAGTCACACCGTCGGGCAGCGTGAAATTCTTCTTGAGATTATCATCATGTTCCAAGGTACGCTCGAGGAGGCCCGACCACCACTCGTGATGGAACAGTAAATCAAGACTGCTCTTGAAGCCAACAGGAGCCTTGCGCAGGGCATCCCAAATAGCCTCCACGTTGAACTCCTCGAAGTCGTCATCGACTATCTGGTCACCAGCCTTCTGCAGAATGGATTGGAAACACTGAGCGCTATACTCTTGCACCTCCTTCAGATATTGTGGTGATTGCTTGAAGGCAGTCATCACTTTATTGCGGAATTCCTGGAGGAAATGCTGCCCAGACGTGGTATGCCTGACCATCTGGCGAGCTCGAAGGGCTGCTTGATCGACCAAGCATTTTTTTTGCTGCTCGAAAGCAGCTTTCTCGCGCCCTCGAGCCGCCCTTTCCACCTCGAGCGCAGCCTCGAGAGCCTTTTTCTCTGATCTCTCAGCCTTGAGCGAATTCCGAAAGCCTTCATGGCCCCCTCGAGAGTCTCCTTCTCGGCCTCAAGGGCCTTTCTCTTCACAGCCTCACCCTTCAGCTTCTCACGGAGCTCGTGGTACTGATGGGTGAGATCGTCCAGCTTATTTCGGAGAAGGAATGATCCTTGCTCGATCGGAGGAATGGATCGGCTAGCACTAGACAACGCCTGGTCGATCAGGGGAGCTAGTTCGACCATTCCCTTAATTCACAAAAAAAAAGATGAATACATCAGCGACCAAAGAAATAAGTCGAGGAAGACAATACACAAGGTTCGAAAGCTACCTGTGTTAGCCACTTGGCAATACGGTCACCTCGGTCATGGAGGGTTGCACCGTCATCGCGGAGATCGTAAGAAGGAAGAACATCCTTAAGAAAAGATAATACTTCTGTGCAGTTGACTTTGGTCAGCGAGAGGATAGAGGGACACATGATGT